TGCTGCTGTCACAAATACTCTTCACTCCTTCAGGTCCCTATACATCTTTCCTAGCTTCCTTCCTCCTCAACCATGGGTGGGAGGAGGAGGGGAGTTGAACTGTGACCCACAATCCCCCTTTCTTCCTCTAATTCTTTTAGGCTTGGATTCTTCTGTCCCTCCAAATCCTGGTCCAGCTATAGCCCCTATTGTGGCTGAAAGAGAGCTGCCCTCCCCAGGGACTGGTGCCTACTTCAGCCGGAAAGCCCGACTCTCCTTTCGCCACCAGCTGCATGACATGGCCTCCGCCAATGACTCCACCATTTGAAGGGGACAACTGAGGGCTGAACTTCCAGGAAGACTTGGCAATCTTCCTTCACCGCATCGCTCAGTGGTTTCAGTGTTGGGCTCCCCCAAGTCTATCATGACCTGCTCATTAAATTTGTTCAGAGTTGTCAAGTGTGTGTATGAGTGTGCTAGGGAAGTAGTTGGCGACTACCTTAGGGCTGGGGTACAGGGCTGAGGTGGAAAGTGGAACACAGAATGATGAACATGAGGTTGATCAGAAACTAAGTTTGCTGAAATCAAGCTTCAGAGTTGAGTGCAGTGAGAACATGTCTGCTGAGCAAGGACAGCAGGTGGCAAAGCATATCTATTCATTTAATATCTAGTGTCTATTCCCTGTCAGGCATGAGAATGTATCAATGAGCCAGGAAGAATTCCTTCTTCTTACCAAGTTGACTTTCTAGTAGACGTAGACAGATAGTAAATAAGTAAACAAATAAGTGTGGTAATAGTGACAGGTGCCGCTGTAAAGAAAATTAAACAGGGTAATGTGAGTGGTGCTTCTTCAGTTTCAGGGGATAAGGGAAGGCCTTTCTGATGAGGTGACATTTGAGCTGAGACCTGAACAAGCAGCTAAGGGAAAGTTGGGGAGTGTGTCAATGTAGGTCACTGATTCTAACAAATGTACCACTCTGGTGCAGGATGTTCATAAGGAGGCACAGGATGTTGACAGTGAGAGAGGCTGTGCATATGTGGGGACTCTCTGTACCTTCTACTCAATTTTTGTGGTGAACCTAAAATTACTCTAAAGAATAAATTTAAAAAAAATTCATGGGGGCTGGACAGCAGTGACTCATGCCTGTAATCCTAGGATCATGGTTTGAAGCCAGCCTGGGCAAGCTGTTTGTGAGACCCTAACTGGAAAATACCCAACACAAAAAAGGGGCTGGTGCAGCAGCTCAAGCTCAAGTGGTAGAATGCTTGCCTAGCAAGTATGAGGCCCTGAGTTCCAACCCCAATACTGCCAAAAAAAAAAAAAAATTCACTGGGCTAAGGTTGTCCTCAGCAGTAGAGTGCTTGCCTATCATGTGCTAGGCCCTCGGTTCAATGCCCAGCACCTGAATGGGTGGGGGATCATAGAAGAAGCAGCAAGTGTTAAGTGCAAATGCAAAAATCCCACAGGTTCTAGAAAACAGGGAAAAAAAGCTAGTGACTAGAATGTCAAGGTTAGGAGAACTATTGAGTGTAATGGTCATGGAAAAAAATCAGAGTATTCTAGGTAAAACAGTAAGACATTGAAGAGCATTCCGAAGGGAAACAACACGGTCTCACATTTACAAAGATCCATTTGGTTTCTGTGTGGGAAAAGGTTTTTATAAGACCAAGTATGGATCAGGTTAATGGCGTGGAGATTGTGTGGAGACATAGATGAACTCTACATGTACTTTCAGAAAGTTTTAGGACTTAACTATTAGAATGAACCTAGAGTGCAAGGGCAAGAAAAATCAAAGATGATGCTTAGGCAGGGAGGCCTGAGAGAACAGATTTTCTCATGAAAGTCAAAAGTATTGCCTACTATTTAAGTTTGAGGTATACATTTGGGGGTCAGAGATTATTCTCTGTTCTTCACTTTATTCAGGACCTCACCAACACATTAGGAATCATCCCTCCTGCCCTCTGAATCTGTCCAGAGTAGTGTTCTATGTATTCTAGAATAAGGTTTTTAAAATGTGGCTTCTACAGCTCCCAGACCCATAGACCAAAGAATTCTGTGCAAAACCAAGAATGTCACTGTCAATTAGCGTTATCAAGCACCTTTAGGTTCTTGGCTTGAGTGGGGATAGTGTTGGAGGAGCCAGAGTACATCCTTAGCTTCCCATAGTAATGGTGACTTCCAGAGCCAGCCAAAAGCACTCCACATGGCTGCCCTCTGCTACCCAACAATCACCTAAAATTCCACTTTCAGATGAATCCCACCTCTTTCCCCAAAGCCAAGAAAGTCACATTACTGAGCCCTAACCACAAGATGAGGTGACAGAGATTAAATGTGGAGAGAGGAAACCATGAAACTAGGCTGAAAGAGTTCTGGCTTTAGGGCCAGGAGTCACCCATGATGACTGACAGAAGACAGAGCAGGGGAGGCAATCCTAGCCTCAGAATTCGAAGTTCTACCTTGGAAATGAACAGGGAACCACAGTCTGTGGTTTAAGTACTTGGACACAATAGGGAAAGGAAATGTAGGGGAAAGTAGTCTGGAGAAAAAAGTTTGAAAAACACCCATGCAAAGATTAGTAAACAATGGCATATTCCTAAACTCCCTTCATCTTTTCTCTAACTTCCTTTGAGCTCAGTGCAGTGGTTTGCACAAATACAAGTGGGTCAAAGTTCAGTACTGAGGTCAAGAAAAGAACACAAGCTGGGCGCTGGTGGCTCACGCCCATAAATCCTAGCTACTCAGGAGGCAGAGATCAGAAGGATCGTGGTTCAAAGTCAGCCTGAGCAACAAAATCAAGACTCTATCTCAAAAATCCCCAATACAAAAAAGGGCTGGAGGAGTAGCTCAAGTGGTAGAGCGCCTGCCTAGCAAGCATGAGGCCCTGAATGCAAACCCCAGTATCACCAAAACAAAACAGAAAACAAACCCGAAAGCACAAAGATTCTCTTTCACAAACTGTTTATTAAATTTTTTATTAGTATGGGGTCTTTCTTAATGTATTCTAGAACCCCAGGATTCAGGGGGGTGGTAAAGTGGCAATGGTGAATTTGGGTATTTGGTCTCCCAAAAGTACCTGCCGTTCTACCCCTGATTTTTCAATAGCTGCCAGGCGGATCACCCCTCCACTGGAGCCATCCCGTTCCATGGCCAAAGCAAGAGCTGTGGATAAAAGGAAGAAGTTGGACTTGGAGTTAGTTCCTGGGAATACTGCAAGCAATGAAAAATGGCTTGGGTAGAGAGAGTTGGAAGATTACAGGCCCAGAAGCCCAAGTTCTCACCATTGGCAGTGAACTGCAGACACTCTTGCTTGGTCATGCCTTCCCGGTAGGTAGCATCAACATAGCCATAGATATATGAGCTTCCGGAGCCTCCAATGGCAAAGGACTGCCTTACCATCATACCTCCCATGGGAACTGAGTAAACCTGTCAGATGGAAGAAAAAGTCACTACTTGTAACTTCTCCCAATATACGTATATTCACCTGTTCATTGTGGGGCTGGTCTGGGAGTGAGTTAATAGTAAGTGATGTAGGGACAAAAAAAAAAAAAAAGAAGAAGTAGAAAATGACTGGGATGGAGAAAAGATCAAAGGCATGATTCCAGTGCTCTGGTGGGGGGTGGGGTGGGGCTGACTGACCTGCCCTCCTTCTTGAGGGTCCCAGCCTGCAATGATTATTCCTGCCATCAGATCTTCACGGTATCGGTAACACATCTCCTTAAAGAGGCTGGCTGCTGTGTGTACCAGTGGAGGCTCATTCAGTTCAATGCTGAGGGGGGAGGGTCACAAGAAAGCAGTATCAGGACCCGGGAGTACCTCAGGTCCCAGATCCCTTGCTCCTCCCCTGTTCACAGCACCTGTGGAAACCAAGCTGGTAAGTGACAGCATCTGCTACTGCTTGAGTATCAGCTGCTGAACCTGAGCGGCAGCAGAAGATGTGATCGTGAATAGGGGTCAGCTTGTCAGTCACTCGATTGGCGATGTAGGACCTGCAGGACAGCAGAATAGTGAAAGACCCCACATGCCTTCCACTCCATCCCATCTCTATCCACTTCCTCAGGGTTCAGGGATAGGAACTCAAGTATCACCTATTGGTCCTCACACAAACTGAAGGAGGCTGGACGGAGAGCACTTTTACAAATATTTCACCAAAGGATGAGGGAAGCTGAGAGAAGGGGGGACAAATCCTTACCTCTAGGGACAGGAGAAACCTCTCTTCCCACAGTGGTCTCTTGACAGTATGGATGCACTGGGATGGCCTAGCATGTGCTAGACCCTGGGTTTGATCCCCAGCACCAAAAAAAGGAAGGGCCGGCAGACAGGGTAGGAGGGAAAGATGGGAAGACAAATTTGTCCTGAGCTCACCCAGTGGTTGTTCTGGAATCCGCCCCCAGAACTACGCCCCCATCAAATTGCACAGCCATGATAGTGGTCTGGGGAAAGAAGGGTGAGTGTGAGCCTTTTCACATTCTCTAGCAAACACCACTCTCAACGATCCGTCACTCAGTTTCCAGAATACAAAATTCGTGCACTGCAGGCCTATTTTCAACATTAGTGGGAGCTCAACACGCGCAGGATTCCAACCCTTAAAGCCCAGGGGTTTCACTTGCCCCCAGGATACATAATTTGACGATTCAGACCACCTTCCTCCTCCCACCACGAAGGCACGACCTCACTCCAGCATCCCCAGAATACCTCTCCCTCGACACCCCCCGTAACACAGTCCACCTCTCTTTCCCCCACCCGCTCTCGTAACCCCACTCAGGCTTTATCCATCCCTCACGTCAGGCCTTGTATACATCTCCTGAACTCGGACTCTTTCCTCACCCCGGTGGACACTTCCCGGTTTTCCCAGTCTGGGGCGATGGCCTCTTGCCCCCAGGCCGGTGCAGATCCCGCTCCTCGAGCAGCTACTAAGGCGGCCGCCATCTTGCTCCTCCGGTACTGCCGTAAAGCAACTATCGTAAAGCGCTCTGTCACTCGCTAATCGTCTTCGCCTTCGGGAAGCGAAGCTAGGCCGCAGTTGACGGCAGAAGGGAAAAAATAGTATTGGATCGGTTCTTTTGCGACGGTGAGCACTTGATGGCAGTGTAGAAGGTAACAACAAAAAGTCTTGGGGGAGAAAATTATATTGGCTGCGCTGTACTAATCTATCTGATTGGAGTTGTGTTGAAAAAGCTCCCAAAATAGATTTGACATTGAGAGTTGGAATGATTACGCCATGTTTTCTTTTCTCTTGGGTATATAGGTAGCATAGCGGTCGTATGCTAGGAGTGGAATTTCTGATTCGGACGGTAACAGTGTTTAACATTTTGAGAAACCGACAATTCTTTTCCTCAGCTGTAGCACCATTTTACATTCCCACCAGCCATGTATGAGGGTTACAATTTTTATACATCCTCCCCAAAGCTTGGTATTGTGCATCTTTTATATTATAGCCATGCTAGTGGATGTGCTATTTTGTGGTTTTGATTTGTATTTCCTTAATAATTAGTGATGTTGACCATATTTCCTCGTGCTAATTGGCCGTCTGTATATCTTCTTTGGAGCAATATCTATTCAGATTCTTTGCTCATTTTAAAATTGAGCCATTTGTGTTTTGTTTTTGGAGTATTGGGGTTTGAACTCAGGGACTACACCTTGAGCCACTCCACCAGCCCTTTTTCTAATGTTAAGTTTTTTTCGAGATGGGGTCTCAAGAACTATTTGCCCAGACTGACTTCAAACGGAGATCCTCCTGATCTCTGCCTCCTGAGTAGCTAGGATTACAGGTGTGAGCAACCAGCGCCTGGCCCATTTGTAGTTTTATTGTTCAGTTGTATGAATTCTTTTTATAGATTAGAAACACCAGATAAATGAGTTGCTTTTTTTTTTTTTTTTTTTTTTTTTTTGGTGGGACTGGAGTTTGTGCTTGGAAAGCAGATGCTGCAGGTCTTCTGCTGCAGGTTTTTTCCACCATTGGTTTGTCTTTTCACTTACTTCACTGGTGCTCCTTGAAACTCAAAAGTTTTAATTTTTAATTTTTTTTGGGGGTGGTACTGGGGTTTGAACTCAGGGCCTCACACTTGCTAGGCAGGTGCTCTTCTGCATGAGTCATGACCCAGCCCTTGTTTTGCTTTATTTTTTGGAAAGGGTTTTAAGTTTTGGCCTGCCTAGACTTTGGTCCTCCTATTTATGCCTAAGGTGTAGCTGAGATGACAGGCTTGTGCCACCACTCCCAGCTTTACTTATTGAAATGGGTGTCTTGTGAAGTTTTTGTCCAGGCTTGCCTTGAACCCTGAGCCTCTCTAGTTCTTCCCCCCACGTAGGTGGTATTACAAATATTAGTCACTGTACCCAGTCAGAAAAAAGTTTTATTTTATTTTATTTGGTGGGACTGGTGTTTGAACTCAGGGCTTCACACTTGGAAAGCAGGCACTCTACCACTTGAGTCACAGTTCCAGTTCATTTTGCTCTGATTATCTCAGAGATGGGGGTTTCTGTAAACTGTTTGCCCCAGATGGCCTCAAACCCTGATCCTCCTGATCTCAACCTCCCAAGTAGCAAAGATTACAGACATGAGTTATAACCCCCTAAAAATTTTTTTTTTCTAATCCAGTGCTAGAAAGATTTGCAGCTGTTTTATTTCTGAGAGTCTTTTTGTTTTGTTTTTCAAGACAGGGTCTTCCTACATGGCTAACTCTTGTCTTAAACTTTTCATTGTTTTGCTTCAGACTGTACAATTTTATATGCAATGCTGGGGATTTAACCCAGGGGTTCGAGCATGGTAGGTAAATATTCAACCCATGAGCTACATATACAGCTCGTAGTACATTTTTTAAATTGATATTTAAAATTAATGAAATTAATGATTTTAAAGTGTGATTTGCCATTTAGTACATTCACAATGGGGAGGTGCACTACTAGGATTAGAACTCAGGGCCTTGAGCTAACTAGGCAGGTACTCTACCACTTGAGCCACAAACCCAGCCCTGTAACCTCATTCTTGATTTTAGCAATTTATATCAGTTCATCTAGCTAAAAGTTTGTCAATTTTTTGAGAGAGAGAGAAAGAGAAGCTCGGAATTGAGCCCAGGGCTTTATACATGCTAAGCATGCACTCTACCACTGAACTCTGCCCCTAGCACCAGCTCTGTCTATTTTGTGACCTTTTTAAAATATTTTTACTTTCCTATTCTCTATTTTGTTTATCTCTGCTCTAGTCTTTATTATTTTCTTCCTTTTTATTTCTTTACCTCTAGTTTGTTCTTGTTCTAGTTTAAGGAGGAAAGACATTTTATGTATTGGGGGAAAATTATTTTGGACAGAGGGACTAGGAAGAAGAAAGTTCCTGAGGCAGAAGCATATCTGACATGTTTAGTGTATATTGAGGTGAATTTGGTTAGTGCAGACCATGTTGGACCTTTATAAAATCTTATGCTCACTGAAAAGATGATCCTGAAAATTTCCTGCCTAAACTTTGAACAATTTTAGTCAGTGCAATGGAAAGCCATTGGAAGAATTTGAGCAAGGAACTGACACGGTATTATCTGCATTTTAAAGGATCACTGACTGGTGGAGTGGCTCAAGTGGTAGAGTGCCTGCCTAGCAAGCATCAGACCCTGAGTTCAAACCCCCAGGACCACCACTAAAATAAATAAGTAACAATCACTTTTTCTGCTCTACTGGCAATACATCATAAAGAGGGAGATGGACAGAGAAACAATTAAGTTATTGCAACAATCCAGGTGATACAGAATGTTGGCTTCTACAAGAGTAGGAGCAAGGGAGAAAATGGGAGCTGGTCAGATTTTCAAAGATTGGATGTTGGTGTGATGAAAAAGAAACATGAGTAAGTATTATGAGGTTTTTGGTTTAAGGACCTGGAAGAATGGAGTTTCTTACTGAGCTAGTAAAGACTATGGCTCAGTTTGAACATGTTAGGTTTGCTACACTTAGATGACATCCAAGTGGAAATGTAAGACAGGCAGTTACATACAGAGAATTCTGGAGTGCAGAAGAAAGTGGATTGGAGGTATAATTTGGGATTTAGTGTATGAAATGGGCAGGCTCTTTCATGTTCACTACCGTTGTGGGTGTGGCCAAGGAGTTGTTTGATAAACATACCCTGTGAAGCCAAGTGCCTGCTTGGTGTGAGGCATGATGCACGGGTTTCGGCTTTAGGTAGTGGAAGGGAGAAAGTGTTATTCACTGAGAACACAGGAGATGCACTTCTGGGGGGAGGGTGGTGGGATCTGCCCTGGACATGTTAGGTTTGTGGGAAGAGTCCAAGAAAGAGTTGGCTGTATGACAGTGGAGTCTAGGGGATGGGTCTGGGCTGGAGATTTGGCATAAGGTCGGCAACTGAAGCCACAGGAGTGGTTGAGATAGGCCAGAGGGATCATGAATCTCTTGGCTGCCAGGAACAGGGGTGACACATTCCACATCTTCCCACATTCCTGTTCTTTTTTTTTTTCCCTTAAACCGTCATCACGTAAAACGCCCTACTTCGACAGCTGCCAAAGAATACTTTTAATTCTCATAGCTCTTCTGATCTCCCAGAGATTGCGGATACTGGGAGAAGCCCAAACCATCCCCAGCCGAGGACGCGCCTTAGCTGCGGTGACGTCACGGAGGAGGCGGGCTACCCAGGCGGCCAGCTCCCTGCGTCCCTGGCCAGTGATGGGGGCGCGACCTTGGGCTGTGCTGATTCCGCCCTAGGGTGCTCCTTTCTGGGCGGGTCTCTGGCCACCGCTGTGCTTAAGCCAGCTGGAGCAGGCCATGTCCCTCCAGCAGGCCCTGCGTGCGGTTGTAGACATCCTCCAGGGTGCTGGCGGCCCGGGCCAGAGCAGCCCGCGCGTCCGCCTCGCTGGTGCCTGGACACGCCAGCTCCAGCAGGCGATCGCGACTCGGGAGGGCAAGGAATGCAAGGCGGGCGGCCTGACGGACGAGCCATGGGTGGTGCGGGGCCAGGGCCGTGCGGTAGGCATCACCGCACTGCTCACCGGCGTCTGGGCCTCCGAGCGTCCCTGTCGCCACCCGGTGGAGGCAGAGCTGGGACCAGCGCAGCGCGCGGTGCAACAAGAGCAGCGTTCGTGAACCCGAGGATCCGATCGAGTCCCTGGAAGCAGTCCCTGGTCGTTCCAGCAGTCCGGCTCGTTGCTCCCACACCACCATAGTCGCTAGCGACGTGTAGTGCGCGGCATCTGGGCCATCCACGCAAGCCTCAAGGGCTGTCACCTTGATGAAGGCCTCCCTTGTGGCGAAGGCGAAGATGGAGCCGAGGGGAGTTAGGAACCTGTGTGTTTGGTGGTGGATGATTTGAAAGAGGGCGATGGAATCACAAGGAGGCAAGGACTGCCTTAAGGGTGGGAACTACTCACCTGACTAGTTCCCTCCATCCAGCCAGGTACTGCGACAACTCCACATCCCCTTCAGCACTCAGACTGGCGCGGAAGGGCTTCATTATGCGACCTAGCATTCCCTGAGGCCCTAGACACGCAGGCTGTTCATGTTCCAGGGCTACCAGGGGTTCCAACTCTGGCTGGACCTGGGGGTAGACATGACAGGAAGGGAGTGAGAGCAGAGTTCCAAGCCTGCTAGATTTACTTACTTGGGCTCTGAAGAAATTGTTCCTAGGATATAGATGGTGTTCCTCCTGCTCTCCTCTCAGCTTCTGAAGGAAGAATCCCTTCACCGGATTCTCACCCTGGCCCCCCTTCCTCCTGTTCACGGTCCTATATGAACTTCCAGACTCAGCCTTGTCCCGAGCGTACCCGGATGAGCAGCGGTCCCTCCATAATGCAGGACTGGGTCCCCGGCCTGCAGCCTGGCAGGAGGCCTGGGGAAAGGCAAGCAGAGGGGTGAGGGTTTGGGAAGAGGTTTGGGTTCCGTGAGCCTGGTCTCCGGGGTTCTTCCTGGAGCAGGTGAGGGAAGGGACCACTCACCAAGAATCCGTGCACCGAGATAAAGCAGCAGCAGCAGCAGCAAGAAGATAGTGAGAGAAACTACGTGGCGGAACCAGCGCTGTAGGGCTGGGGAGGGTAGCGCAACCCCCATGGCAGCTAGCAGGACCACCGCCCCCTCACCAGCCCCTAGTCAGGCGGTGTCCTTTCGCCTCCAGGAGGGAAGGAGACTGTAGTGTTCCTAGGTGCAAAGGGTTAATAATTAATCTACTAAGGCCCCCTCCCCTGTGTTCTTTGCCCCTGAGGGCAGCTACCTAGGACAGAATGAGTATTTGGGGGATTGGGCCTCAGCGACATGCCTGCCTTTGCATTTCCTTCCCGGGGGGTCAGTTTATGGGAAGAGGCAGCCTGAGTACTTGGAAGAGAGGCTGAGGTCAGAACCAGCTTCTCTAATGAGTAAAGGTGGAATCCTAAATTAACTCTGACTTTGGGTACCCTTCACTGGAAATTGAGGGTAATAATAGGCCTTTGCAAGCCTCATGTGAGGATTAAGTGATAATGTATGTGAAAACACTGTAAGTGGAAAACCTGACCATAATTGCCCCATAAATCTTACTTAATAAGTTTATGGGGAGAGATGGGAGTCCTCTGGGATCAGGGAACACCCACTTCTAAATTCTCTGTTCTATCTCCAGAAGACCTTATCCTGATCTGTGTGCATGACCTCTCAATCATATTTTAGGCTTTATCCTTTATATTCTTGTGGTTTAATTTTTAGACTCCTCATTGGCTCCTCAATCATCCATCAGATCAATCTTTATTGACTGCTTCTGCAGACCACTCGCTGTACTGGACCTCCAGAATACAAAAGTGTCTTCACAGAGCTCAAGGTTCATTGGGACAGAATTTTTCATTTCTTCCCCCACTGGAATGTGATCTCTGATCAAGACCAGGGCTTTGTTTTTCTTGGTCGCATTAAGTACTTAGAATATTGCTTGTACCAAACAAATTATTGCTAAATAAGTATATATTGAATAAACAAAAGAATGTGTATGAGAAGCAGGAAAATGAGGGGTGGTGTCCCTTAACAAATCCAGCCAGGTAGGCATGGAGGGAAAAGCATTCTGGGAAAGGATGCAAGAATACTTAAAGCAAAGGAAGCAACAGCTTTATCTGTTCTTAGAGGTTCTCAGTCCCCTGCCTACAAACTTGTTAGAATTGTTCTTTTCTTTCTGGTTGTGAACTTGGTGTGCCAGATGCTCAGAGCCTCAGGGCCCCAATCTGTAAGAAGACTCTTCCCAGCTACTACAGTTCATGGATTCTTGCCCTGTGTCAGTTCACACATTCTGGGAGGATGCTCATCCCTGCTGTTGCTCCTGATCTCTAGTGGGATTCCCATGTTGGATCCCCCCCTCCCTCCACCCTAGTTTCCTAGTTTCTGTGGTTATTTTATCTCACCAGCTCTCACCACCCCTCCCTCCCTAGTGCGTGGAGCCTCTGCCTCCCAGAGCTGGGAAGGAAATCAAGTTTGCAGGGTTCCTGTAGCGGATTAGTTTTGAATGTCACTTAATCCTGGAGGTCCTTCCGCAATTCAGCCCTGATAGTCACCCGGCTGGTATAAATTTGCCTAAGAGGCCGGGCTCATAGACACTGCAGGATGGAGCTGGGCGCACGAGCCAAGCTGCTGTTGCTGCTGTGGACGACGTGCTACAGACTTGCACCGGCTGGTGGGCTGAGCGGATATACGTCGGTCATCGAAGTAACTAACGGGGGTCCCTGGGGCGATTGGGCATGGCCTGAGATGTGTCCTGACGGATTCTTCGCCAGCGGGTTCTCGATCAAGGTGAGGGCTCGGGCCTGTGTCGTGGAGGGGTCGGAGATACGTTGGGCCGCTGAGCCGAGAATGGCAATTCCCAGACTCCTCTCCTTGCCACGCAGGTGGAGCCCCCTCAAGGGATTCCTGGCGACGACACAGCTTTGAACGGGATCAGACTACACTGCACTCGCGGGGACGCCGAGCACAATACGCATGTTGTGGAGTCCAAATCTGGAAGGTGAGGGCAAGGGACCAAGGGTCCCTAGGGAGAGGGTTTGTTCCTTATGCTCTGTTCTCTGCGCTCTGCCAGCAGGCAGGTTCCTCCAGAGCTATAGGTAAGGGGTGGATATAGCAGAGGGAGTGGATGAAAGGTCACCCCCTGCAACTCGGTGAAAGTCAAGTGGCTGGACCCCACCCTTTGAGGTCGCTTACTTAGTCCCTGACTTGGAAGTTCAAGGTTTGGGTGGCCTGGAGTGGAAAGGAAGCACCGGAAGAGCCAGCGCGTTTCCCTTTCCCTTGCAGGTGGGGCGCATGGAGTGAGCCCCTGTGGTGTCTGGGCGGCAGCTACCTAGTGGCTTTCTCGCTTCGCGTAGAGGTGCCTAAGACCCCTGGAGACAACACTGCGGCAAACAACGTGCGCTTCCGCTGTTCAGACGGAACGGAGCTGGAGGGGCCTGGGCTGAGCTGGGGAGATTTTGGAGACTGGAGCGATCCATGCCTTAAAGGTGCATGCGGTTTGCAGACCAAAATCGAGAGGCCTAGAGGCCTCCGCGATGACACTGCCCTTAATGACGCACGAGTATTCTGTTGCCTCAGTTGACGCTGTCGCCGGCCTCTCTCCGCCCCGACGCCAGTCCCGCCTTCCGCTATTAAAACTTCTTGGTCTTGGCTTTGGTGTCGCTTGATTTAGGGATGGGAATTTGCATCTCTTTTTCCCTCCTAACCGTGCATTGGGCTAGGCCTACATTCGGGTTTAGTCTCAGGTATCCATGCAGCTGTTAGTTATGGGCTCCATATTCCAGAAGAATGTAGAACCACTAGTGACCTCAGATTAAGACATTTCTGCCAGTGCTCATGCCTGTAATCCTAGCTACTTGGGAGGCTGAGATGGGAGGATAAAAGTTTGAGGCCAGCCGGGGCAAATAATTCACCAGACCCCGTCTCCAAAATAATCAGAGCAAAATTTTTCACATCACCCACTTCCTCGTTCTCTCATACAAAGCATACATAAAAACCTCCCTGCCTCAGAGTCAGCGGCTGCACCACTCTCATGGGCAGCCTGGCAGCTTTAGCCTGTCATTACACCTTGCTTGCTGGACGTGAGACTCTTTCCTGAGCTTTCTTTTGCAAGCAGCGTTTCCCTAAAAAGTAGAGTGCTTGCTTTGCAAGCATGAAGCCTATAGTTCAAACCCCAGTCACACTTAAAAAAAAATTCTGCCTCAAGACTCTTGATATTATGATTTAAACAAAAAAAGAAATTTCTGCCAAAGTAGGTGATAATACAATAGCTTCAGTTCTTCATTTTCTAGAGTTTAGAAGGTGAAAGTGGCTTTTCCTATAATTTCACTTTTGCTCCCCGCAAAAATCCAAACAGTTGGCACTAAGAACCTTTGCCCTTCCTTGCTGTTCTCTCTGCCCCCAGGCATTCCTATTTCAGTACAAGTTTCGCTGTCTTAGACTTTCCCTGGCATAGGAAATAGTCCCTACATTAGTCAGTCATATCTGTCCCATTAACAACGTGTTTTTTTAAAAAAATATTTGCCATCAATTGAAATAGTCCAGGGGTGGAAATTACCCATCTTCCACCCCTGGAATGTTAAGTTCTTTCAGAGCTGTACTGTCTTGCTTACCTCTCTATTTCCAGCGCAATTTTATACCTCAGTAACTATTCGTTAAGAAAAGAACAAGTGGGGTGCGGGGCGCCAAACAAGAGAACCCAAACCCCTGTGTATCTGTCTCGAGGCCTTCACACACTACTCCTCACCAGAAACACAATCTGAGACAGGGAAGGACACTCAGAGCAGTTTATCCAAAAGGAGAAGAATTAATGAACAAGAACAACAAAAGGCAGTTTATTCCAGCGAGCAGGGGGTGGGCGGGCCAGGCAGGAGTCCAGGAGTGATTAAGTGTAATCGGGCAGTCGTGGAGTGTCAGTGAGAAGTGCCCTGCAGAAAAGAGAGCGAGTGAGGACGCAGCCAGGAGCAGGCTGGTTCCCTCCACTACTCCACCCAACATCTGTCCCACCTTTTTCCTGCAATCGCCACACACGACACCAATGCTCGCGTTCACCAGCTGTACTCCACACAGCACGATCTCCAGGCTCGAGGCGATAGCCAGCAAAGAGAACAGCGTCACATTCCAGGGGACCACATGAGGGGGCTCCTCGCACACATCCCAGAGAGTATCATTGCTCAAGTAGGCGCCTCTGTGGACGAGCAGGGTCACGTGAGAGAAGTGGGTCACACGCGAGTTCCCCTCATTCCACCCGTGCACACGTCAAATGCGATTTGCAAAGGGCTCATTTGGGCCACGTGGAGGGAGCTCTCTTGAAGCTGGGCTCTGCCGAGGTTTCTGGGTCCACGTGGGAAAGGCGGAGGGCAGGGAACGCAGAGAAGGGGTGGTAGGAATACAGGCTAAGACTTACGAAGTTTCTCGAAAGTGGTAGTCCCACTTGTCATTTATTAAGCAAATGGGTCCAACTTGGAGCCCGGTTACCGACACCGAGAAACAGTAGATGGCACCAAGCATCCCGAAGGCGGAGGAGAAGACCGAGCGCAGCATCTGGACCGAGTGTGGAAGGTGAGCAAGTCCATCGGGTCCCCACTCGTGGGCCAACCGCCCTTAGCACCGTCCCCCTCGCCCAGATTACCGCGCTTCGCGTGAGCCAAATTAAAAATACATTTCCCGGCAAAACCCGGGTTTAGAGTTAGGCAAACCCAAGGGCCGCGGCCGCGGAGGTTCATGGGGGTTGTAGTCCTCTGTGGTCGTACTCGTTGAGAGCTGAGATTTGCAGGTGAGAGGAGAGAGTGAGGCGGGGCCTAAGACCCTGCAGAAGGGCTTGTGGAGGATGCTGTGGCTCTGTGAGGAAGTCTTGCTATGTAGCCCAGGCTGGCCTCAAACACGAGATCCTCCTGCCCTAGCCTCCTGATCTGAGATTATAGAAGTGGCCTACCACATCAGCCTGAATCATTTCTAAATTTGGATCTTACCCTGCAACGATTTCCGCAGCAGCCTGCACCACAACAGCCCTTGCCCCCTGCCCGAACAGCTGCAATTCCTGGACACAGCACCTGCGGGACAAGAGTCGTGATAAAGCATCCTTCCAGCTCTTCAAGGCCATACTTACATCAGTGTACACCTAATCTGGGAAGCTGCTTGTGATGCCCTCAGCCCTTTGGACCATAGAAGGATCTTTTCTTTACCTCTCCTTGAGCATTGTTGGACTCAAAATTAATTTCTAACTCCCTGGAAGAGCTTTCTCAATGCTTCTAGCTTCCTGGAAGGCGGGCGTCCAATATTATATATTCCCAACAAATCTTGGCACATAGTAGGTGCCCAACTGAATGAGAGTCAGGAGGCCTAGGTCTAGCCAACTGTGCACTCCTTCACACTAGATGAATTGGTTGGTTTCTCTGGGTCTTAGTTTTGTCCTGTGTTAAATAGGAACTCCCAGACATACAGCACAGGGTTGTTCTCAGGATTTAATGAGATAACAGGTAGACTTTGAGTGGAGACTGGCTCAGAGTAAATGCTCCATGTCTATAAATGCCTTCAGCATTGGAAGGGATAGTGGTGTTGAAGGGTGCAGGAGTTGGGATTATGGTGGCGTGTGGAAGTATATACTCTCTGATGTAGATAGTAGGATTTCCCAAGATGTGGCCCTTAATCTGATTTTTTTATCTCCCTGTGGCCTCTCTCACTAAACCCAGCCCTTCCCAGGCAACCAACTGTTCCCTCTGCCAATAGTCACCTGCAGATGACTTGGAGATCCCAACCTGTGTAAAGGATGTGCTTTCTCCAGTATCTTGGTTTTAGCTCAGATTCAACCCACTCATACTGACCTCACAGTATTCCCCAAATTTATCTCCCTTTTGACTTTCTTGCCTTCATCGGTGGAAAAATATTTATTTTACCCATCCTGGAAAACTTTAATCTTCCTACATCTAGTTAGATCCAAAATCTTCTCAATTTTCTCTTCCCTCTTTCTTCCCCACATTCAGCCTCTACTCACCTTCCAAGAGGAGGATGTTCCTGCCTCTCTTCTAGATTTTCACAGCTCTTGCCCCATGCCACCCAATGCTCCAATCCACATGCCAGATTAAATCTAATCTTCTACTGGTCTTTTCTCTACAAGTCCTTCAGGGTCAACTCACAGATTAGCGTATCAAGACTGAACCCTAACTCAGGAGTGGTGATGCATGCCTGTAATTCCAGCTACTTGGGAGTCAGAGACAGGAGACCCTTGCCAGTCTGGCCAAAAAGGTATCAAAACTCTGTTTAAAAAAAAAAAAAAGTTGGGTGCTGGTAGTTTACGCTTGTATTCCTAGGTACTTGGGAGGCTGAGATTGGGAGGATCGTGGTTTGAGGCCACTCTGAGCAAATAGTCCAAGTGACCCCCATATCTAAGCCCTGAATTCAAACCCAGTGCCACCAACTACAACAACAAAAGGGTTGTGTGTGTGTGTAGGGTAGCTTAAGTGGTAGAGTGCTTGCCTAGCATGCTTTAGGCCCTGGGTTCAAACCCCAGTACTACCAAAAAAATAAAAAGAAAAAAAGACTGAACCCTAGCAAGGCATTCAGTGCTCCTCACTCTGCCTCCAGCCTTATGTACCACAGCACCCCTTGCCCTCTCTTATCTTCATTGCACCAGGTCAGGTTCTTTGGCTATCTTGCATCACTGTCTTTTTTTTTTTTTTTTAATGAGGTCTCAATATGTAGAACAGGCTGGCCTCAAACTTGAGATTCTCCTCCCAGCCTCCCAAATTCTGGGATTATAAGTGTGCACTATCCTGCCTAGCCTCCACAGCTGTCTTGATCAAACAAAAATGAGTCTCGTCTGGTGCACAGCATAAGAGGCAGCATTTTGTTTTTCTCCAGGGAAGGGCTGAGGAAGAGTTTAGTTCTATTATATCTTCCATAGCATCCTGAGAGAAATACCTGCTGAACTGCACTGACTTTGTTTTTTTAGTGGTACTGGGATTTGAACTTAGGACCTCACACTTGCTAGGCAGGTGCTTTAACCCCATGAGCCACTGCACCATCCCTGTTTTGTGTTGGGCTTTTTCGAAAAAAGATCTTGCGAACTATTTTCCCAGGGCTGGCTTCGAACTGCGATCCTCTTATCTCTGCCTCCTGAGTAGCTAGGATTGCAGGAGCCACTGGCACCTGGCCTGAACTGATTTTTCACAGGATGCTCTTTGACCCCTTTTCCTGTCTCATGGCCGATCCAAGGCTAGTGTTGACTTCCTTGCTTGGCCTTTCTGGTGAGGTCACTTAGGAGGAGATTCCAGTATTCAAAGACATGTAGAATTGTCTTTTGGATTTACTATATATATATTTTTGAGACAATGTTTGTCTGTTGCCTCTGTTGCCCAGGTTGGCTTTGAACTTTCAATTTTCCTGCTTTAACCTCCCCAGCAACTGGGACTACAAGTGCATGTCACTGTGCCTGGATGATTTACCAATTTTTTAAAAAATATATTTTAATTTTGGGGGACGTACCTCAGTAGTAGAGTGCTTGTCTACCATGCCTAAGTCCTAGGTTCAATCCCCAGCACCACAAAGATAAATACATTTGATTTTAATTAGTACATAATAATTACAAATGTTTACTGTGTATAGTGTGCCTAGTATGCCTTTTTTTTTGGCAGTACTGGGGTTTAAACTCAGGGCCTCACACTAGGTATTCTATCACTTGAGCCACTCCACCAGCTCTAATGTGACATATCAATGCATTATGATCAAATCAGGGTAACTGGCATATGTATGACCTCACAGAAACTTAAATTTTTTAAATTTATTATTATTATTTTTTTTCTAGAGCTGGGCTTTGAACCCAGGGTATCATGCAAGTACTCTGTCACTGAGTTATATCCCCAGCTTTGGCTGTACCATCTTTGAATGATATACTTGTATGAAATTTTCCCATTTTTTGGGTTTGGTTTTTGAGACAGGGTCTCATTATGTAGCTCAGGGTGGCCTTGAACTACAATCATCCTCCCTACATCTCTAGAGTGTGGAATTACAGGTGTGAACCACCACACTTGGCTGAGACTTTTACTTTTTTTGATCTAAGTACTTGTTTCCTTTTTGGTCTTAGCTTCCCTGTCTTGCTCTTTGCTTCTTAATTATCTTAATTAATGGAAAGAGAATGATCATCATAAATGTAAGAGGAAACATTGGGTTTGTAGCTCAAATCTCCTTACTTTTCTCTGTCACTGTGGCCACTAGCTTAGGCCAAACCAATATTCCCTCTCCTGGACACCTCTAGTGACACCAGCCTCATCTTTCCACCTCTCTTGTTGACCTGCTAACTATACATTCCATGCAACAGCCAGGAATTCCATGCAAGAGATCTTCCTCACTCCAGTAGGGTGTGCAGCCAACTAGAATGCTCACACTGTGCTGGTGGGTAAGAAATTAATACAAAACTTCACAAAAGCAGGGCTGGGGATGTAGCTCAGTGGTAGAGCGTTTGCCTAGCATAGATGAGGCCCTGGGTTCAATCCCCAGCACTGTCAAAAAACTACTTGGCAATATTAGCACTGAATATTTGCACACCTTAAGAATCAGCAGTTCCAAGCTGAGTGTGGTGGTTCACTCCTGTAATCCAGCACTTAGGAGGCTGAGGATGTTGAGTTCCAGGCCAGCCTGGGTTATGTAGGGAGACACTGTCTTAAACACAAAAAGGGCTGGGGGTCTGGCTCAAGTGATAGGATGCTTGCCTAGCAATCATGAGGTTGTGAATTCAAACCTCAGTCCCACCAATAAATAACTACTTTTACTCCTAGGTATATTCCAACAGGTGTCCTAAAGACACCTACAGGAATGTTTATAATACTAGTGTTTGCAATAAACCCAAACTAAGAATTATCCAAATGTCAAGAAACTTACCTTCCTTCCCTCCTCCCTCCCTTCTTCCTTCCTTCTTTATTATTTATTCATTTATTTATCTTGAGACAGGGTCTTGCTATGCTGCCCAGGTAGGTCTTGCAATCCTGGGCTCAAGCAATCCTCATGCCTCAGTCTCTTGAATAATGGGGATTACAGGCACCCAAATAATGTTTCCTGATCTGGGTGCTGGGTACATGGACACGTTTGCTTTGTAAAAATTCATTGAGTTGAGGCAGAGGGTGTAGCTCAGTGGTGGAGCATGTACTTGGCACACACAAAGCACTGGGTTCAAGCTCCAGCACGGCCTCTCAAAAAAGTTCTAAGATGTTAAAAAAAAAAAAAAGTAGAGATCCAGGTGTAGTGGCACATATCTGTAATCTCAGCTACGTAGGAGAGACAAAGCTCTTCTACAAAAGTCCAAAAAGTATGACAGTTATTCAGTAGTTTTCTGTGGTACTTATGTAAAATCCAAATTAACCATTGTGCCTTTCAACGGTATATCTGGTCTGGCCTCTGCCCACCTCAGACCTCATCTCATTCAGCCTCAGCTGCTGTGGCTGTCTGCCTGATCCTCGTATGAGTAGACCCTGTTTGCAATGCTCCTACCTTCTTGTTGTCATTTGAGTGTCAGTTCAAGTATGAATTCAGGCAGATCATGGGGAGTAGGAGAAAAGACATCAGAAGGTAAGAGGTTGTTGTTGGTTAAAGGAGCAGAATCCCCATTTAGCTAATAGAGTGTAACCAGCCAAAGGCATGGAGGGGAGACCTCTCCCACAGAACTTTGTCAGTTCTGTCACCTGTGCTGAGAAGTGGGGAACTGTACGGGGTAGAACTTCTGTCCTTATTCCATGAAGATGTGACATTAGGTTGACCATCCAAAAGTTCACCTAAATGGGGAGGGAGTTGGAGGATGGAGCTTAGGGAGTTTGGGAAATCTGTGTCTCTCCTTCCACTTCTTCTAACAGATCCTGGTCTCCAGGAAGACTTGGGGCATACTGTCTGACTTCTCTGCCATACTGTCCTTGGTTCTGAGTTTATTATCCTTAGCATCCAGCACAGAGTAGGGATCCAGAAATGTGCACTGAGAGTAAAGGGACATGGAGGAGG